AAAAGAGGTGAACCAATTAGTATTGAGAACACAAGTCACAGGAATAATTACCTTCTGGAACATTAGATTATTTTTATTTACTATCTGTTGACTTTAATGTCTGTCTTGAGCTTTGTTACCTGAGATGCTAAGCTCTGGAAAACACATATTTCACCTTCAGGCTTACCAACGTCCTTCCTATAAAAATGTTTCTCTGTGGGTTTTGTGGAAGATGAACGAGGGAATTTCTAGAAAACAAGGCCAAGGCAGCATAATGACAGCTCTGTTTGGAGAAGAGAGTGTTGGTATCAATGTGAAAAAATTTAAGTAGGTATTATGATTTTGTGGGAAAAAAATATTCTGAGGTCTATTTAATTTGTTACTAAACACTTGGAAAAGTGGCAGTTGAGTTTTAAGATTAATTAGTACATCGTTAACGGTGATAAAAAGGATTGAAGGACGGGAAATATCTAGCACCTTTGATTTTTCTTACTTCCTTTCCCTCCCGCTCCATCTGCCTCTCCACTTCCAAGCTCTGCACTGGACTCAACACTAGTCTTTTCCACCTCTAGCTCCTAGGAAAGTGGATGAAAAGTTGAAGGCCAAGTTGGGCCACCATATTATTTTTACTTTCCAAACTCTTTGTGGTTTAATTTTTATCCAATCCCTCCCCCATCATTTCTGATCCAGAAAAATAAGTATTTCTTCTCCTCTCCAAAGCTGTATCTTATGTCCTTGACCTCATTTTCTCCCTTTAGGTTCAGAGCCATGTCCCACCAATTTCCCCTCTTTATTTTCTCAGACCTTTCCACAGACTTCTTCTCTTAACTAACAAACCTGTTCATACTGCCTTAGTCTTAAACAAAAATAGACCAAGAAAAACACCACTCTCCTTCCAACTGTACTTTCTGAAGTTAGCATCAGATCTTGTCTTATACCAAACACCTTCTTCTTCCCTGACAATTTTGTTAGAAATGGTGTCTACCCAATGGTCCTCTAAGTTTATGTGAATGATCAGAATTCCCAGGTGTATGGTAGAGCTGACAAGGGGCAAGGTTGTGGTCACTGCTTGGTCACAGCCAGCTACCCAGAGAGACTGAGTAGTTGAACCTAAGGGCTTGGGACCATAGTCTCAGGGGACATCAAGCTCAATTGGCATAACATACTATACAAAACATTGTTCCACTTCCTACCTTGGCGAGTAGCGACTGGGATCTTAAAAGCTAGCAAGCTGCCATCTAGATGGAACGATGGGTCCCTCCTCATCCAGAGCAAAGAAGAATGAAGAAAACCAAAATTCATGGAAACAATTGGTCCTAGCGACTGGTACACCATCTGATCTGCAGCCTATACGACTATGAGACCAGAAGAACTGGATGGTGCCTGGCTATCACTGTTATCCACTTGGGAGGGGATCTATGTAGGAGATCCTGGATAGAGAGGGAGAAAAATGTGGAACAAAATTCAAAATCATTTGGAGGGAAAAAAAAAAGGGTAGGGGGACCAGGTTTGCTAGTCCAATAGAGCCTGGTGGAACCACTGAGACTATGGCCCCTAGCTGCCCTTAGGGTTTGGAACTGAACCCACACCTGTGGTTTCCAGCCAAACAAGTCTTAGACAGGCATATGAGTTGAACATTTACCTCAAGTAGATACACTCCTTGGAGAGAACAATCATGGGAGAAAGAAGGGCTGCTTATGCACAGGGAGACAGCTCAGGGGGCAGGAGCCCATGGAGGGATGGACACTGGGAGGAGGTAACTGGGGGGAGAAGGTGGGCAGGTAGCTGTTGTGTTGTTGTAAACTGTGGTCAATGTCATGAGGCAAAGTGTATGTGAACTGCTGTATGAAAAGTGAATTTGCTCTGTAAATCTTCACCAAATCACATAAAGAAAAATAAATTAAAAAAAAAAAAGATGGTGTCTACCCTTATTGCATTCACTCCACATTCAACATGGCCTTGTTAAATCTCTGCGACCTAGGTGAATACATTCAGCATTTTAATGGACTAATTCTTTGAAGGATTATTAATCACCTCCCAGGAGTCAGATTTCAGTGGCCTGTTTTCATGGTTCACCCTGTTTGATCTCTCCACAATTCATATATAGCATTGTTGGTAATTCTTCCTTCTAGAAATTTTCCATTGTTTGCTCTCTGATGCTGAGTGAGCTCTCCTGGTTTTCTTCCTGACGTTCATTTCTTTCTCAGCTTCATTTCTTTCTTACCCTTCAATGTATGCATTCCACAAAGATCTGTGCTTAGTTTTTCTTATTCTACATAGTCTCATCAATTCTACAACCCTAAAGATGGTTTTTATGTGGTCTCAATTTCCTTTCCTATAATTCATCCTTCAGCTCACTCCTGGTCCCATTATTCTACTGGCACACTCTTAAAGGTCCTCAGAGAGCTCCAGTAGACTCCTCCAGTCCTAATTTTGTTTGACTTGCCAGCAGATCGAGGCACTGTTGGCCATTCTACCTTCTTCTTTGGCTTTGCTGATACATCACTCCTCAATTCTCCTTCAGGCTTTCTGACCTCTTCTTCGTTTCCTAAGCTTGTCTCTCCTCTTCCACCCATTCATTCACCATTAGAGTTCCTCAAGGCACTCTCCCATTCTCATTTGGTATTCATTTCCAGCTTCAATTATATGGATACATGGAAGACTCACAACTGTTTATCTCTAGTCTACAGTTCTTTGCACTCTAGACACATGTACATGCAGCCATGCACACACACATATACAGCTAGCTGCCTACTTATATCTCCTCTTAGATATCCTAAAGAAATAAAATAAAAACAGCTCAGTACGCCTAAAATGAACTTATGATCTCTCCTCAAATCTGATTCTGTATCAGCACTTCCTGAACAATAACAACATCCACACAGTTGTGCAAGACAAACCAAGAAATCATGCTTGATACCACCTTCTCTTTTACCCCAATGTCCATCTGTCACCAATATCTACTCTATCTTTCCTTCTAACTATCTCTTAGAGTTGTCTATTCCCCTCTATCACCACTACCACTACTGTAAGTAGATGAGCAAGAATTCACTGAACACACACTTGAGAGAGTGTGTGTTCTCATATATGTGTACATACAGATTAGCAGGCCTATCCCTACTAAAGATAACAACATCTCTATGTTGTAGATAAGCAAATCAAGGTTAGGTAGGGTTACAGAATTTGCCCCAAGTGACAGGTGTGGTAATTTAAAACCAAGTCTGACTCCAAAGCCAGCAGCCATAGGAAAGAAAAATAAATTATAATATAAAGCTAATTATGTGAACATTAAAGAAACAAAAGAATAGCCTTTCTTTTCAGTTTTCTCACTGAAAAGATGACATTATTTGTGACAGTGATCATGCAATTACAGCATCCATGCCAGTGAAGGAAGGACACTAAACTTTCACAGATACCATTATCCTACACTCCCTCCAGCCAAACTTTTTGTTTTGTAAACTTCCAAAGGTGGAGAAAAACTGCAAGAATAGTAAAATGAATTATCTACATATTCTTCACCTAGACCCACCTATTGTTAACATATTGTCACTTCTGCTTTCCCTCTACCTAGACACACACACATGCGCTTTTTCCTAGAAACATGAGAATTAGTTTCCGACTCATATGTTAACCTGTCTTTTGTCTTTTGTGGGAGCTCTGGTAGCATAGTGCCTAAGGCACTTGACTGCTAATCAGAAGGCTGGCAGTTCAAACTCACCAGCCACTCCTTGGAAAGAATCTACTTCCACAGTCATACCTCCTTGGAAACCTAAGGAGGGGTTGTTACGAGTCAGGTCCAATTCCACGTCACATAACAACATAACAACATGTGTTTTGTATATTTTAAAAATAATGCCAGATTTCTAATGCCTCAGCCCCCTGGAACACAGCTATGAATTCAGTAACAAGAAAAACCAAAACCAAGACCAAAACCTTCTGAACAGAAAGGAAAACTGTAATTATAAAGCTATTACTACTTATCGAGGACTGTTAACCATCTCACATCCATGACGACTGGACACAGACTGTGAAGAAGGAATTTATATTATTCACAAAATTAAGGTAATTGATTTAGCAAGCTTGAACAATGCTTTTCATGTTTGAGATGGGAACAAAATGGTCTCCTGAAGGTGTCATTATTTAACCATCCAGTGCCATAACTGGTGTTTATAACAACAACACTAATTTTGTAAGAACACATTCTGCTTGACAAAGTCTGCTTTTTATGGCAAGGATTTTATGAATATTTTATATTTCATTATTATTTACACACAACTATTTAAAGTATAGTGCCTAAGGCACTTAACTGCTAACCAGAAGGCTGGTGGTTCAAACCCACCAGCCACTCCTTGGACGGAAGGTTAGGCAATCTACTTCCGTAGAGATACTGCCTTGGAAACCCAAGGAGGGGTCGCTATGAGTTGGGTCCGACTTGACGGCACATAACAACAACAACAGCACTTAAAGTTATAGGTATTTATCCTCAATACCCTCATTTTTGGACAAAGCTGGATTAATGAGGCGTTGCAGAATACAATTAGATAAAAATTGGTACTGCCTATACAGGAGATAAGATGCCTATGTCAAAAATTTCCTCTGAAGGTTTGCAGATGATGACCCACATTTAAAAGCAAAAATCAGTTCATTTTCTGGTCCCTACTTCCAACAACTGAGCAGTAAAAATAGTTCAGTCAAAATCTAAACAGATTACTTGACATTTCTCAGAAAAACTAGAAGGAAAAGCAAATCTATCCTCTGAGTATTATTTTAAACATCCAGCTTCAGTGACATAAAGGCAAGAGTTCCACTTTTTTAATTGTTTAAATCATGACTGTCAGACTTATTACAAAGAGTGTCACTACTAGAAAGAAAAACATGGTCAAACAGACAATAGAAACTGTCCAAAGGCTCTAAAATATTGACTCCTGGGAAGAATCAATTACAGATAATGGCAAAGTACAGGTGGGTTGGAGCCATTTTCTCAAAGAAAAGTGACCGTAATGGTTTCAATGTTTTAATACCTGCTGTGGGAGAGTTCGCGTGGTGAGACTTTTTTGGCAGGTTGAAGATCTGTTCACCAGGGTCAGGGGGTGGAATTGCATCTTGCCCTTGTCGAGCCTCTACGGGATCATACTCCTTCCCATCGTAGTTAGCATCATAGAACTTCTTAAACCACTGAATAAAATCCAGGTTGTCCTGGAAACGTCCTTTCACTAGCTTCTCCACTGGAATAACCTGCAATAAACAATCACCAGGTGAGTCACAAACCTCAGGTTTGTTTGTGTTTAATACAACAAACTGTTAACCTAAATTTAACTGTATCCCAATTCATGATCATTGATCTCTCTCCCAGCTTTTTCCAGTTGTATTCTAGAATTAATATAATCTTTCATGATCTTAAAGAAAAAATAAACCAAAATGTTGTTGGGTCTCTTAAAATACATAATACTTAGGAACAAAGCAGACAGAAGTAGGATTACTCTTATCTGTCACGTGGGTCCACATAGTGTGTTTATTGTCAAAGCATCTTCCCCAAAATACTGAGGCCTAGGATGCTGTGTTATTTCAAGATTGATAGGTTATCTTTATTTCTGGCCCAACTGTGTTGTGATAAATCCTTACAAGAATTATGGCTACTAGAAAATGAATAATACTCAAAGCAATGCAAATACATACCATCCTAATGATTCACGGGAAACAACATGAGTTTTCGAGAGTTTATTTACAACAGGAGAGATAAGCATGAAAACAACCAGTCACAATTCAGGACCAGCAACACAGGCACCACGTGTCATGGGAGTGGGGAGGAGCAATGGAGGCAACACAGAAGGCACTCTGGAGGAAGACGTGCACAAGAGTCACATCAGCTTCTGAGATACTGCATCTCAGCAGATCATGAAGTAACACTTCCTACTTGAAGCCCAAAAGCCAATCAGCATTTCTTTTACAAGTCTTATAGGAGCGTTAAGGAGCTCTGGTGTCATAGTGCCAAAGGTATTTGTCGGCTAACCAGAAGGATGGCAGTTCAAACACACCAGCCACTCTGCAGAAGGAAGACCAGGCAATCTACTTCCATAAAGATTTACTGCCTCAGAAACCCAAAGAGGGTTGCTATGAGTCGGAATCGACTCGATGGCAATGAGTTTGGTTTTATAGGCGCCTTTGGAATTATGTTTGAAAAAAAAAAAAAAAAAGAGGTTTGATAGCTTAGCTCTACTGCAGCGGCCAGTCATTTTTGAAGGAAAATGGAAAGGTATATAGATAGCTGTCCTAACTGCTCCATTACCAGATCATTACTTGCCACATTTTGGGGCTGGAATATTAGTTGAGTGAGAGTCACAAGAGTTATAGGGGCAGAGAGTGAGACTGTGCACGTGAGTGTGTGTGAGTGTGAGCGTGTGGTTCAGACAGAACCACAGAGCTCGAAGCACACAGCTTCGCTGTGTAACTATATGAACGGAAGCAGTATAAATTAAGCTTTCGGTAAGGCTTTGCCACCTTCGAAGCTATTGTATCAGATATCTGACCATGCATCATCAGGATCATTCCTGAAAAAAACGTAGATAGACTTCAAGTATCAATGACAATGTGAAAGAAAAAAAGCAACTGAAGCATTTTAGGCCATCCATTCAACTATATCATTTGTAATACATTTATATGTGTGTGTGTGTGTGTGTATATATATATAATGCAAACTAAATCAAATATAGTAGAAAATAAAGAGAGACAAACTTTTGGGAGACATCCAATGTGTAAAGAAGAATCTTTCCCACTCCCCTTGAATGTGAAGTCTGCTCACATGTTCTACTAAATTTCCTTTTCATTGTACTATATAAATATTTTCAAGCCTTCTGATTTTTTAATTTTGTTGATACTGATTGTTTTAAAAAATGACTTCTTAGAGCACAAAGCCCTTAATTAACATGCTTCTCTACTGTGCCTACTGCCAGACATGTGGAAATTTATAAATAGTTTTAGAAGATGGCAGTACATTAGACTTTAAAAGAAGGCATTTACTGTTGTTGATTTAATTTTGCATTCTCTATCAAAAGGGAGGGATGGGGGCAGTGGTGGTTCAGCAGAAAATTCTAGGCTTCCATGTAAGAGACTCAGGTTTGGTTTCCAGCCAAGGCACCTCACGACCAGCCCCCACCCGTCCGTCAGCGGAGGCTCATGTGTTGCTATGATACAAGCAGGTTTCAGCGGAGCTTCCAAACCAAGATGGACTAAGAAGAAAGGCCTGGCAAGCTACTTCAGCAACTGAGCAAATGAAAATCCCACAGATCACAGAAGTCCGACCTTCAGTTGATCACGGAGATGGGGTAGGACCAGGCAGCATTTTGTTCTGCTGTGTGAGGGGTTGCCATGAACTGGGGGCTGACGTAAGGGCAGGTAACAACACAGTATCACAGTGGAAACTCCAGAGGCATAAATTAAATCTGAGATGGCAAGCAAGACTTTACAAAGAACCTTCCTACACTCTGCCAGGTATGACAAGTGTCTCTCATGGGACGTTTTGGATAGACTATGAGCATATTAAGGAGCTCTGGTAGTGTAGTGCCTAAGGCACTTGACTGCTAACCAGAAGGCTCGCGGTTCAAACCCACCAGCCACTCCTTGGAAGGAAGATGGGGCAATCTACTTCCGTAGTGATACTGTCTCAGAAACCCAAGGAGGGGTCGCTCTGAGTCGAGGCCGACTCGATGGCACATAACAACAACAACAACAACATCAGCATATTAAAGCTAGAATGACATTTCAGATAGTGTTGCACTGGTATTCATAAGGTTTTCAGTGACCAGTTTTTTCAGAAGTGGACGGCTCCATCCTTTTTCCCTATCTTCACCTGGAAGCTCTGTGGAAACCTGTGCACCACGTTATTTGAAATGTCAGAGGGACAGCCTCCAGTCTCTCAGCAACACACAAGCTACCACAGTACGACAAAATGACAGAGAAGTGGTGCGCCTTAGAAGTGGGTATAGCTAGGCTTCATTTCACCTACTCTGGACATGCTGTCAGAAGGAACCATTCGTTGGAAAAGGGTATCATGCTGGGTAAAGTAGAGGGTCAGTGAAGAAGGGGAAGACCCTCAACAAGATGGACTGACACAGTGGCTGCAATGACGGGCTCCAGCACAGCAAGTTTTGTGAGGATGGCACAGGACTAGGCGGTGTTTTGTTCTCTTGTCCACAGGGTCACTATGAGTTGGCCACTAGACGACACCTAGTAACAGCAAAGCCAGAGAGGCTAATAAAAGTCATCAAGGCCAGTCTCCTACCACGAGAATTTTTCTTCAACATCTTTAATAATTGCTTAACCATTGTGTGTATACTTCTAGAAAGAAATGTTGTTGTTGTTATGTGTCACGGAGTCAGATCTGACTCATAGCGACCCCTCCTTGGGTTTCTGAGGCAGTATCATTATGGAAGTAGATTGCCCAACCTTCCTTCTGAGGAGTGGCTGGTGGGTTTGAACCGCCAGCCTTCTGGTTAGCAGTCAAGTGCCTTAGGCTGTATGCTACCAGAGCTCCTCTAGAGAGAAATAGAGCTCATTAATTTGTTATGTAGGTAGTTTCATCAATAAATCAATGAAAGGGTGTTTCCTTCCTTTTCAATCCAGAAGTATGCATACAGAAATCAATGGAACAGATACAAGTGGTGCTGCTAATGTAAAGTAAGGAGAACCTCTACTGCTCTGGCTTTGAATATCGGTAGTCCTTCATTCCTTTCAAACACTGTCAGAGGAGGTCCTGACGAAAGCTGGACCCCTTTTCATTACTAATGCCTCTTCTCATTAGTGTCTTTATAAATTCTATCTTCATTTATCTTTTGGGGTTGGAAACATTACATATAAACTTACAGATATATTTTAATACATACACACATACAGGGGAGCACTGGTAGCATAGTGGCTAAGGCACTTGACTGCTAACCAGAAGGCTGGCAGTTCAAACCCACCAGCCACTCCTCGGAAGGAAGGTTGGGCAATCCTACTTCCGTAGTGATACTGCCTCGGAAACCCAAGGAGGGGTCACTATGAGTCAGGGCTGACTCGACGGCACATAACAACAAACAACAACAACAACACACATACAGTAAGGGCTCTGGTGGTACAGTGGTTAAGCACTCGGCTGGCTAACTGAAAGGTCAGCAATTCAAACCCACTAGCAGCTCTGGTAGCATAGGCATTTGACTGCTAGCCAGAAGGCTAATGGTTCAAACCCACCAGCTACTCCTCGAAGAAAGACTGACCAATCTATTTCCATAGAGATATCGTCTCCAGTACGTATCATTAATGATGAGAGGTACGAAAATCTCCCCCCAGAAAGAATGGTCATAAGTGCAGTTCATTGTAACTGGAATATGACATAAATTGCCTTATATACAGGAGCTCTGGTGGCGCAGTGCCTAAGGCATTTGACTGCTAACCAGAAGGCTGGCGGTTCATACCCACCAGCCACTTCTTGGAAGGAAGGTTGGGCAATCTACTTCCGTAGTGATACTGCCTCAGAAAACCAAGGAGGGGTCGCTATGAGTCAGATCCGACTCAACAGTAATGAGTTTGGTTTGGTTTTTACCTGTATACACAGAAGGAACTAACTGGAAATTAACCACAGCAAAGCAAATAAAGACAAAAATTGTAAAAGAATTCAAAAGCTTAAGATGTTAAAGAGAATGTATGCTTTGAAATAAAAATTCTGTGAAAATGAGAAGCCAAGATTTTCGTGACAATATTTTGATAAGAATGCTCTAATTTAAGAAGATATTAATTGCATTAAATTTAAAAACATATAGAGAGTTTAGGGAGCTCTGGTAGCATAGTGCCAAAGGCACTCAACTGCTAACCAGAAGGCTGGCAGTTCAAACCCACCAGCCACTCCTTGGAAGGAAGGTTGGGCAATCTACTTCCGTAGTGATACTAACTCGGAAACCCAAGGAGGGGTCGCAATGAGTTGGATCTGACTTGACGGCACATAACAACAACAACAACAATATAGAGAGTTTACCAAGGAGCTCTGGTGGCTCAGTGCCTAAGGCATTTGACTGCTAACCAGAAGGTTGGCAGTTTAAACCCACCAGCCACTACGTAAAAGGAAGACCAGGCAATCTACTCCTGTAAAGATTTACCACCTAAGAAACCCAATGGGGGTTGCTATGAGTCAGAATGGACTCGATGGCAGTGGGTTTAGTTTTTGGTTTTTTAAGGGAGTTTACCAAACATTTCTCCTTTTTTCTAACATCCGTATCTGTTTAACCTAGTATTTTAATTTTTTTTTATTCTCACAGCCTATTTATTGTTATGTTTTATGCCATTTCTTTCTTGCTGGTTTATTTTTTTCCTTTGTTCAAAATTTATTTTTTTCCAAGCGTATTTCCTTTAAGAGATACATCCTAAATAAGGAATATGGGTTTGTATTTGAATAGCAGTAACATGCTGAATAAGGAGCTCTGGTGGCATAATGCCTAAGCAATTTTGACTGCTAAAGAGAAGGTTGGTGGTTCAAACCCACCAGGCACTCCATGGAAGGAAAACTGGGCAACGTACTTCCGTAAAGATTTACTGACTCAGAAACCCAAAGGGGATTGCTGTAAGTCGGACTTGATGGCAGTGAGTTTTTTTTTTAGTTTTAACATGCTGAATGGGCCAAATTGTAACAGTCCTTTACTTGGGAGGGTGGAGAAAGGCTTCCAACTCATCCTATTCATATTACTCCAGGACAAAATTAAAATAATAATTCAAAAGCAAAACAAGGAAAATAAATGTCTGGCATTTACTGAGAACTTGACTGTAGGTGGTCTGTTGGGCTCTTTCACAGCATATCCTCATTTCAATTTCATAGTCAGAGGTAAGAGGTCCTATGTTATACATGAGCAACCGCAGACTCAAAGACTGTAGTAACTTGCTCAAGTCATGGATCTGGGATTCACACCTATGCTACTCCTACTGTAACATGCTACTTCTCCAAAGGAGCACAAAACACAAAGAACTACAGTGGCATCTGACAATCATAAAAATTTCTCTTCTGCAATACTAAAACATAACTAGTAATAACATGCTAACATTTGTAATTCCTGTTACAGTTTGCAGTCCAATGACTAGAAGTTTAGAAAATACCTTTAAATAAAAACCTCACATAAAGGACTGCAGGGCTTTTGTAGGAAGTTAGGGCTCATGCTTTATGCTATGTCCACACCCCAACCTACTACAGAGGTATCAAGATGTATTTGATTGATATGTTTGTGGAATTTTTATATTTCTACTCAAAAGCAACTGAAGAAAAGACAATGTATTCTTTGGAGGCACAAGTATTTTGGAGGTACTTACCTTATCAACATTCATTCGCTTAAAGGATGCTTGCAGAAGTTTAAAATTGTGAATATACTCATGTTCCAACTTTGCTTGAAACTTTACTTTCTTCAAACTAATGCAGCCTGGAAAGAGCATGTCCATGAACTGGCAATAGGCTGCTCCTAGAAAGAGACAAGAAAAGGACTGGTGTGAGTGCCATTGAACCCGGCTGTGACTGGACTGCTAGGTGGAGGTAACCAATCTACGGAAGCTCCTGTCACTCAAGCAGAGCCCTTCTGGCCATGTGTGTTCCTCTCACCATGGTAGTCTACCTCCTTGTCCACAGGGGCTGGGGCCAGAGGGAAGAAACAATGCCTCTGCACAGACCTCCCTCTTCTCCATTCCTAGACACTGTGGTACCAACAGTGTGCTAACCAGGGCATCACCAGCTCCACGAACAATGAACAGAACCTCCTACTTCAATGCCAAGGAAATCAGGGTAAGAATAACTCTTCTTAGCTTCTATCAGAGAAAAGGAATGTATTTCTTTTTCATCTGGTTGCTACTGCTCAAAGACATCAAAATATATAAGCTTAAGAGAAAAACAGCAGAAAAAATTTCAACATGAGAGAACTGTAAGAGCTCTCATGAAATGTGTAGTTCAAAACACACACAACATATGCCCAAACTGTTCCACATCCATCTTGTAAATAACTTAGGTGAAACTGTGAAACTCAGTGATCTAGGATCAAAAATGGTTATACACACCAATTTAATTCTAGTCCAGAGCAATTAAGTTCCTAAGATGACATGAAGGATGAAGACCTGGACACTGGAACATACAGAGATTCAGAGTCATGCTGCTTATGACTGAGAGAAATATACATGACAGGAACATTCAATGAGTCCTCTGAGGCAATGGTCATAAGAAAAGATGATTATTAGTCTTTCTTTGATTTTTTTATGAAGAGTTCTTGGCATAGAGCAATTTCAACTAGAGAACCCTTGCAGTACCATATTTATTGAGTCACATGTCCTTAACTGGGCAATCCATGTCTATAGATACCACCTTGGTTTTTGGTTTTGAAAACCCAAGGAGGGGGGTCACTGTGAGTTGGAACCAACTCGATGGCAGTGAGTTTGGTTTCGTTTTTGGTTTATCTACTTAACAGTAAAGGCTAAAGGAATTTAGAAAAAAAAAATTCAAAGGAAGAATGGCAATTGGGTAACAAGAACAGGAACAGGCAGTTATTTTTGTGTTTTCTCTTTCCTTCTTTGCTGCCTCTGCATCTCTCTGTGTGTCTCTTTAAATAGTCTGATAATAAACCCTCCTATAACATGAAGAACTCTTTCTATCCCTCTCTATCAAATCTTCTCTGAGGATCCTTTTTATTCCATTCAGGGAATTAGCCTTTAGTTAGGGAACACCCACTCTGTTGCTGATGTCAAACAAATACCCAGCATCCTTTACTGAGACAGGCATCACAGATAAAGGAAAATAAGACACCCGGGGCTTAAGGACTGCTGGAACAGGAAATGTTGGGCAACTACTTCTTTGCAGATATAGGGATGAAATACAGGCCATAATAAATATCACCTCCAGAAGCCTGGCATCTCTCCAAGGCTTGCTCTTAGATGCTAATACCTGGAACACTAGTTAAGTTCCTAGTCAGGCAGATGAGTTTCTTAAAAACAAGGCAAGACAAAACCAAAAACAAAACATACTGGGTAGAGAAACATCATGTTCTGGGGGGAATTCGTATCGTCATCATCCAATTATTATTCAGTTCTTCCTTTTGAAGTGCCACGAGATGCATAAAATTTCAAACAGCCACTCTAAAGTTATTGTTATACAGATGAGAGTATCTAACAAAAAACTGTGTCATTATCTGCTCTTTGAAGAGTTATTTTCACTTTTGTAGAATTTAGCATAAAGTTTACCTATTGAGAGCCATGCATCTGTACTATATAGATACTTACAAACAAACCAACCAACCAAATCACTTGCTTTTCAAATTAAAAAGTAGCATACAGCTTTTAAACAACAAACTATCCAACACATTCTGAAGGGAGGGAGGGAGGGAGGGAGGGAGGGAAATCATCTCTAAGTTCATCATCCAGATACAATACCAGAAATAACAACGTTAGTGTTCTGGTGTATACCAATCTAATTATTTTTTTTGTATGTTTTCATTTTATTTGTAAATAATTTTTCCTTTAAAATATGATCATACTGTAAAAATGTGATTATATTATGCTGATTTTTTAAGTAAACTTTAAAAAAAAAAAAAAACAACTTAACAGATCACGATTCCCTTTCTGGGTCATTGAATATTCACTATCAACATTTTTAATGGCTTTCTGTTTTTTTATATCAGCTTAGCAACTTTCTTAAACCAAGATTACATAAATATTCATGTGTATTTTCTTCAAGTACTTTTATGGTTTCAAGTTTCATATTTAAATTCTGAATCCACGTGCAGTTTATTTTGGATTATGACATAAAGTATAGCTCTAATTTTAGTTATCCCAAATGTTAGTGGAAACCTGTCATTTTTGGCTTCCTAGCATTTGGTCAAGTTCCTATTTGAGGATGCTACAGTATCCTGCCTCCCAGCGTTGTAGCTGCTGAAGGTGGGCAGATGCCCTTTTCTCCACCCCCAGCAGGAGGGACAGGACTATGACCAAGGCTCTGCCTCTTGGATGGTCCTGCCTGGGTGTCAGAGTCTTAAGGGACTGACAGGAACATGCAGGGACCCTTAGAGTTGAGTCATGGTGGAATGGTGGGCTCTGGAGTCTCAAAGTAGAGACAGCAGCACAGTGGCTTCCTAACCACACTGCCCTTGTGCCAAAAAGGAGGCTCTGTTCCAGGCTTCTTAGCATCCTTCGGCTCCTGTCACCTGAGCATCATTCTCTCCTCTTTCCACTGACTCTGCACTACCCAATATCCTTCTTGTAAATTCCTTTTTGGCTTAGGCTCACCAGGGTTGGTTTCTGTTACTTTAAACCAAAAATGTTGATAAAGTTAGCTTGATGTTGAACAACATCGTTTAATAAATAATCTATACTTTCACCATAGATAGAAACACTACCTTCACCATAATTTTTATACATATATTTAGGTCTTTCTCTAGACTTCTAAAATCTGGATTTTAAAGCCTATCCCTTAGTGATAATTCCGTACTCTTAGCTGTTTAAATTCTATAATATGTGTTGCTATCTGTATAACTTCCCTTCTCTCAAAATCTTCTCATGCATTTATTATCTCCATTATATTTCTGAATATGTTGTACATGGTATATAGTTTAATAATAGTTTTAAAAGAAATCACTTATTTATTATCTATCTAGCCATTTAATAATAGAGCTGGAGATAAAATTCATATGACGGCATAAACTCCAACCTTTTAAAATGTACAATTTAAGTGGTTTTTAGCGTATTTATGGAGTTGTGCATCTACTACCACTATCTAATTTTAGAATATTTTCATCTCCTTAAAAAGAAACCCCATACTCTTGGGCAATCACTCTCCATACTCCTCTCCCTTCAGCCCCTGGTAACCACTAATCTATTTTCTGTTTCTATGAATCTGTCTATTCTGAAAATTTCAAGTAAATGAAATCATATAATATTTGGCCTTTTGGGTTTGGCTTATTTCACTTAGAATGTTTTCAAATTTCATGCATGTTGACTCTGCTGCATGAATACACCACATTTTATTTATCTAGTCATTGGTGATAAACACATAAACGGTATATATGATTCCAGTTACAAAAAGTATCCAGAACAGGCAAATGCCCAGAGACAAAAACTTATTAGTGATTACCAGATGCCAGAGGGAAGGAGAAATGGGCAGTTACCCTTAAGGGGTACCAAGTGTCTGTTTAGGGTGGAAATGGATGGTGGTGGTGCCCGCACAACATGGTGAGTGTAATTAATATCAGTGAACTGTCCACTTAAATATGGTTAGAATAGCAACTTTTTTGTTACATCTATTTTACCATAATACAATTTAATAAATTGGAAAACTTTCTGTATTTTTTGAGGATCTAGCAGTTGAACACTAAAGTAAAAATTGATTTGGTTAGAATCTTAACTGCAAAGTTTACTGTATGTATGTCCTGGGCTTTCTGTACCTTTCCTATGCATTTCAGAACCCATGAGCATTAAATAAGATGAATAAATGATCTTTAATGAGGAATGCAAAAAAGATATATTATCATTTCTAGAAATGGGTATATTAAATAAGCATTTAGGTATTACATGTCATATGTTCTAGAGTCAAAGGAGTCCCCGAGAACTCTCAAGAAATACTTTCAGAATTATGCTGAAGACATATTTCTGCAGCTTTTGGGTAGTCCATTTGGGCATTTTCAACTTCTGGTTCACCAAATCTTTTAGGGAATATGCCTATGAGAAATCATGGAAAGATACCTATAAAATCATGAAGAGATCATTTCATTTTTGCCAGATCCCATGACAATAGAATAAATCAGAATAAACAGACTTTTCAAAAGGAAATTTTTGAATAACAAAAAGGACGTGTTACTTAATGATAATAAATTTATGGAATATATTATGCCAAGAGGCAAACACTGCATTTGTATAAAACATGTAAAGCTTTCATATCTAATTTTAACATTTGGAAATGCGATAGTTAATCTTACGAGGTAAGTACTTTTCTTATCACCACCCTATTTTACAGATATGGGAATAAGGCTCAGAAAGTCTTCCAGCTAGTAAGTAGCAGGAGTGGAATTTAAACTTTGGCCTAAACTTCAATTTTTTTTTTTTTTTTTTAATTTGTCTTCTCTGTGCTGCTTCCATGAAATTATAAGTGAAAATACAATGGCTCAAAATGTTTGGAAATTTTTCTGGATTATAATTCTGTAAGGGGTTACAAAGGAAACTACAAGAGAGCATATGAACCATGCAGGCTGATGTCTGAGATGTTGGTGATACTTTTCCTATTCATAGTAGAATCTTGGTTGGATAGAGTGATCACTAACCTGCTCTAACATAGTGATTTCATATACAAGGGGATACATTCGTAAGAATTTAATTTGATACATATATATATAATGTGTATTTAAAGTATATAAGTATTATATATACACACACACACACACACACATATACATGTATAATTATACATCTTATTACTGTTAAAATTTCACAGTAC